AGGAAGCTTCCAAGCTTAAAGCACCCATTACTCCAAAATGAAACAGCCCCCACTTACCAAAAGAGGCCTCCAAGAGCACATTAACCTGGTGGTCTGGTCTCCCTACTGAATACAGAGTCAGGCTTAAGGTTTTGGTATTTTCAAAAACCTCTTTGAAATTGATCCTAACAAGATCTGTGTAACAAAATAGTTTAATTTCGATTGCATCTTCTTGATAATGTCCTAAATTACTTTAAGTAACCCAGAGGTATAGATGCCACAGGGAAGGTGAGGAATTGAATTTGGAAAGGAGGTACCTACAAGATGGTCTAAAGTTTGCAAAGGTCTATGTAGTGGTTTACCATAAATATGAAACACTGTGCTAAGAAGCATTTAAATGACAGTAAGATGGAAAATAAGCAATAAGAATTAGAAGTATTTGGGCATAACAAAACTACTAGGATAATTCTTCTATACTGAGTGCCAGTATTGCCAGGTATACTCTACTGGAGAAGAAGTGGTGTGGAAGTTCAAATAAGGAAAAGGAACTAAAGCACAGTGGGCATCAGCATAACACATTAAGAAAGATAATGACTCATACTTTGGGTTTCTCTGCAAAGGATGGAGTGAGTATATGAATGCTTTGATGCCAGAAGTCTTGACCATTGTGAATTATCACAAACACTCCAACCCAGTAAAGTAGGTAGAGATCTTGCTAACTGTATTGATAAAAAAATTACAAAGTCAAAAGGCCCTTCCTAAGTGTAAATAAGTATTTTTCCTGTACACATCAGGGCTCTCGTCATATTGAGAACTCTTTTCAAGCTCAAGGCTGAGCCCTGGCAAACCACAGAATGCTAACTGGGAATTAATACATAATCAATAGATCAGGCAACAGTTCTGGTGAGAAAGTAGCTGAAATTTTTGTGTCAGCTAGAGCTGAATGCATAAAGTATCATTGTGATGTAGGTCATTCACCCAACAGAAGCAGATGTACTACTGATTTCACAGTTTCAAATGCCACTGGTCTCATTTTGACTTTGGCCATTGACATGTCTATCTCAGTACTTCGATATCTTCCCCTGGAGACCAAATTAAGTTATCACAAACCAGGAAGGAAAACACTTTTTCCTCTGTAACTTTTCTCTAATGGCCATAGACAATGGTACTGGCGCATCACTACCAGGCTTTGACAGCTTGACAAACTATTTTTCTACAATATTTTACAGAACTCTTCCTCAAACAAATGAAGCTTTCATTTGTATTTCGGTATTCAAGAACCCTGAACAATATATCTGAATATTTCAAGAACATAGTATGGAAAGAACATGTGGAATTTCTTCCTTTTTATCAATTTAAGCAAAACAACTGCCCATAGCAAGATTTAGCGTGTTCATCTTAATGAACACATATCAAACTACCCCATGATCTCAAGTCAAGAGTTCTCTCGCCACCATAGCAGGATTCAGATGAATCAACAATTGGCCATTAGCAGGGGGGTCTCTTCCATCAATCCAACTCAAGACTGAGTCATTGAAGTAGTACAGCGTGGCTGCTCAAATGGCAGTTGCAGAAGCCTGAACTGTTCATACAAACAGGAAAAAGAATGATGTGATCAGAAATGTGTGATATGATGCACAGATGCAAAGTGCCAGAAACCGTTTTAAATGATCACGGTCATTAATAACAGCAGATATACTGATGTGTATTTCTTTCCCATTTATCCAACAATGCGTGTTCAGCATTTATATTTGGGTATCTTTTTTAAATGAGTGAAATGTTATAAAAGTGTATTTTTAGAAGTTATAAAATAATTTGGGTCTGAAAAAAGATATATTAAAAGGTCAAAAGAAAACCTGGCACCAAGAAATCTTTTCTTTGTAGAGTTTTGTGAATACTTGTTTCATCATTATTTTTAATGTGCACAATTTTGACAAATATATAAATTGTGCTATTATGCCATTTTAATAAAAATCCAGCAATTATGGATTACTTTTTTAAAAGCATTATCCATATTAATAAGTCAGTTACACAGCAAACCTTTTCACTCATATGAGGACATTGTGACCACCTGCTTCCCCCTCTTCAAGAATCCATGAAAACCATAGTTAGAAGCAAGCATTTCTATGGATATAGGACATCCTGTGCACAGAGTATGATTCACCTAATATGAGAAGGCAAATACCACCAAAAAAAGTCAAACTATTTTCAATGGGGTACATTTAATATTGTTTTACAATTAAAAATTTACACAGGAATGGAGACCCATATTTTCTTTCATCAATTAGGGAAATAATACAAATCTTAGTCCAGTTTAGACTGCAACATATTGAATTTATTTTATAGGAGTGGTGAACTACCAAACTGGAAATAAAGTAAACTTGAAGAACTTCAAGAAAGTAAATTTATTCAAACTAAAGTTATCATCATCTGTCCAACAAGGATAAAATTAAATACGGTCAATATTAGTTAGTTTCCAATTTAACTTAATGAGTAACAAGAATACTGTAAAAACTTATCAAACATTGTGGTAGCCCAAGTTAGCTTTTGCACTCAATTTTAAAAGAGCACTATTTCAATTATCAGGCTTTAATAAGAGATACCCTGATGAAAATATACTACTACTACTAGTAGTAAGTCCATAGTGAAACAATGGAGTCTTAGTATCCTTGTGTTACTTCCCATACAACACAAGTAAATGATGTGAAATTCAGCATACATTGTATACCTGTTTACATCAGGTGTCTTTATATTTGCCTATCTGCAGTCATAGTTGTATTCTCTGCATCTTCATGCAACTACAGTTTTTAGTAACAAAAACACTGTATAAAGAAATAAACAAGAATTTATTTATAGAAAACAGAACAAGAAGTGCAAATTACTATGAACCAAGGGCCAAGTTCACCACCAGTACCTGTGGGCACAGTTAACTAAAACCAGAGAATTATAATTGCTTTACTTCATCAGTGTATTTGATTCAATGTGTATAATTCCGTATTTAAAAATAAAACTTCTTTTGATTCCATATAGTCAATCATTTCATTTACTATATCCATGGTTGAATTAATTAGTATAGCTAGTGGGAAGAGTCCATTTTTTCCTCTTTAAGACAGAGAATAGATAAGAATAAAAATTTAATACTTAAGGTACTCTGCATTTTATTACATAATCAACAAGACTATTAACTGTGGGTCCAGATTCAAACCTGGATGCTTAAAAATCAAATACCCTTTTCAGATGTTTAAATATGGGGCTTAATTTTAGGCATTTAAATTTGAAAAACTACAGGTGAAATCCTGGCCCCACTGAAGTTAATGGCAAAACTCTCATTGAGTTCACTGGGCCCAGGATTTCACTCCATATGAAACTGATGAATCAAATTAAGGTATTGATCCTGCTAACTGATCTACAAACAGAGACTTGTGGGCTTACACAGAGTCCTACTACATTCACTTTGGGTCCATGCAGAGTAACAGTCCACAGAAGCAAATCAGATTGAAAAACTGAGGCCTTAGACAATAATCCCCTCAGGGCAAGGCCTGTTACTTTACTTGTCTATAAAGCCCCATGGAACACTGAAGGCACTGTATAAATATTGAAATACCACATAGACAAAATTGGTAATCTATTACATAAAATTGTCTTCAATCTGCACTATTTCTGTTGCACTTTAGATTACATTAGAAAGACCAACAATAGTTTTGGCCAAAGTTAGATACCCTCTACAAAAGTTTATAACAATATTTTGCCTACAACGCACAACGACATGTCAATATCAGGAAAGATTAATGCAATGATTTAAATTTAGAGCCGTCTTTCTTAATTGTACTGCTTGCATAAGGAAAACCCTATTAGTGCTAACCATTAGTTTATTTTACTTCTAGAATCTTATTTATTTCAAGTACTTTATTATAAATTTCTATACCACTTAACATTATCCTTTCAGCCAACTTCAAAATCAACTGATCACATACTAATTGATGATGATAATTAAGGTTTCCTCAATTCCACAGTAAATTTTAATTCCAGTTTGCCTCAAGCATTCACTTTCAGATGTATTCAGTTCAAAACGGGGATTTATAAAGTTAAATTTGATTTCAAGTAACATGTCAAGATTCTACTCAGAGTTTGCATAACAATTTTTAATTGAACACCATTATACTAGCAAGATAGTTGTGTTTAATATTATTAAACTGTAAATTACGCTTTCTGGACACTATATAGTACTGTAACAAAAAACTAATTAAGGCAGATTTCATTGATGCAGCATTACAAAAAACAGTAAGATGGAAACCAAAGGGTTAAACAAGAAATTAACTCAGATTCTTATTTCACTTATAACTCAGAGATTCACATTGCAGGTTAAAATACAAAACACACTAATTATCATTAAATAATAAAGCTAGTTCTAATTATAAACAAAGTGCTAAAGTATTTACAGTATTATAAGCCGTAGAGCTTATACTCAACATGTCTAGGTGAAAACTGCATCCATTTTGTCCATGCTGTAAGTTGCAAAAGTTTGTGAAATTTTCTGAATGTTTTTGCAGTATATAAACCTTTAAAGAAAAAAGTTAACAGTGCAAATACACAATATATACTAACAAAAATTATTACACTAATAGCTAAGTGAAAGTTTTTTTGGCAAATAACTCTGCTCTAGCTCTTTTGTAAATGTATTCATTAATATGATGTATAAAGTGTTGTAATAGATAACTACATAACAGACAAGATGTAAAATTTTGGGGCATTTTACAGAGGTGTGATAAATATGGTTTTAATAACTTAAAAATACACTCCGTTTCATATATTGCACTGATTGATATCATTACAAGTGCAATATTTTTTATTACAAGACATGTTAAAAACCTTAAGTTTTACAATAAATGGACATGTCTAACTGAAATTTTCTTAATAAGATGTTTGCTGTTCTGATTTTTTTCAGTTTTATTAGTATCTAGGTTTGCTATCCTATGTTAGTTAGTTAGACACACAACGACCAAGCAAAAAACCTCACTTACTCTATTTGAGCTCCATGAGCTACAAGGGCACTTAAGGAATCCATACTACCAGAACGTGCTGCTTTATGAATAGGGGTTTCACCAACATAATCCTGAAAAGACAGAGCACATTTTGTCAGGTATAACTGCCCCAAAATAAATAAATAAAATAAAATAAAAATTACATTATTTCTAAACATTCAGTGGCTTTTTCCTGATATGAATTAAAGAAATGGATTAGTAAAGGTAGCCAGTATCCATTTGTGAATGTGACCACTACTTTAATAGTATTGTAAAGGTTTTTCTGGGTTTCTCTATTTTGGCTGCCTCATATGGAAACTAATATCACGTGATTATGGAATGATCCTTCTTTGAGGCTATCATCATCCATTAGTATTACAGTAGTGCTCAGAGATCCAAATCAGGATTGGAGCCCCTTTGTAATTGTTGCTATATAAACAGCCCAGCAAAAATACAAATTCTCTTTCATGCAATTCTCCCTCCTCTCCCTGCCCAAAAAGCCTTTACAGGTTTGACAGGCAATCTACAGCAGTGGTGTCAGTTTCATTTGTAGGAGAGGGCTGAATTCTGATTATGATCCATGGGCTCACTATGAATTCAGAACTACATGCTTCCCACAATGTGCCACGGATCTCCCACTGACAGCAGTAAATGTACCCAGAGATCATAAGGAGAATGTGGGCTTGAAGTAAATGTTCAGTTGGTTTTTCAGTGCTGTACTGTTGCAGTCATCGCTCAGTGAGAAAATATGCTTCCCTTAAAGCCACCACTATTCCTGCCCTGTGTTTTTTTTCCCCTTTCCCAATCTTTGCAAGTCTCTTGTTCTCTCTGCATGTCCTGCACCGCAGCAACTCCCAATTCCTACCCCAGGTGCTTCATTCCTACCCACCATTCTATCTGTTAAGATGATAAATGTCAGAATTAACTATTTAACTGATAAGGATCATCACTGGGTTTTAGAATTGATGATCCAATGCAATTAATAAAGGATATGGGGGTTCACAGCTCTTTTAGTCATTGATTCAGGGTATCTGCAGAGTAAGACAGACATCACTGCATCGGTTACATTCTGTTCACGTTTGGAACCTTATCTCTGCAGCTGTGAGAACTAGATTTTTTAAAAAATGAAAACCAAGATTCTGCACATTCTGGTTATGCCTTGTGGGCCACACAAAGACAGCTTGCAGGTTAGTTCCGGATAGTGGAATGTATGTTTTATATACCTGATTTAGAGTCTGTCAATAGTTTGTTTCATAGTAAGGATAATTTTACAAGGGTCATATCCGTGCTCAGCTGACATTAAGCATGGTTTGTTTTAATTCCATTCTCCATTTTAAGTAAATCTTTTTGTTAAGGTTACTGTTATATGCATACTGTCACACCGACCTTTTCAAAGAGAAGACAATCCTATAACTTCTAAAAGAAGAGGTGCTGAAGGACAAAGTTTCTCTGGAACCTCCATCCCCCTCAGTCTTGGGCAAGGGCACAGACAAAGATGTCCTATCTCCGTGAGTTGTGTCCCCATCAGACAGAGACAGGAGGAGTGGCCAAAAGATCAAGGAGAAAACAAGAGCTGACAGAGGTATTGGTCAGAACAGGATTTCAGCTTATGTTTTCAGCTTGCTGCTTTGCATTATTTTCAGAACCAATGAAATAAAATATATGTTACTGATTAGAAAAGCAGGAAAGCTGGCCAGTTACACCGATAAAAACTCCGTTCTATCTGCTACACAGCAATTGTCCCAGACAATGCAGAAAAACAGACAAGACACCAAGAATGTGGTTGAGCTAGGCTACTATCCAGCAATAACTTGTCCAGTGCAGGCCACCAACCCTAGTGTAATCAGTTCCACACCCACTGGAGGGCTATCATCAGCCTCCAACATCATTAACCAGCACTGGTGCCGAGACTCATTGCCCTCTCTCATCTGAGGGTAAGGGAGTAGGGAAAAGGGGGCCTCATTGTATTGATCATTAGGAGCTCCTATCTCATTTCCCATTTTCTTTAGGAGACGCCTTCTCCTAATCTGCTTCCAATTCTGATTTATCAGGAAACTAGACACGCCCCCCCACTGCATGCTCACCTGCAGTAAGCACCTGCCAACCTGGAACAAAAATGAATTTTACAACATAACCAACCCACCAGCTCCCTGGGCTGCTGAGAGGAAGGCAAAAAACTCCACACTGACCTGCTCAGGCAAATCTGACAGAAATGAAAAGGAAGGAATTTTCTCTAAGACATAACTAACATGACTTCCACAGCAAATCCCAAGAGACCTGGTCCAACTCTCATCCCAAGAAGCGGAGGTGGGGAGCTTTTCTTCCACTGCAGAATAGCACCCAGGGCTGGTAAGAAGCTTATAAACCAGGAGTTCTCAAACCAGGGGTCAAGACCCCTCAGGGGGTCGTGAGGTTATTACATGGGGGGAGGGGGGGGTCACAAGCTGTCAGCCTCCAGTTCAAATCTCGCTTCGCCTCCAGCATTTATGGTAGTGTTAAATAAATTAAAAACACTTTTTTAGATAAGGGGAGATTGCACTCAGAGCCTTGCTGTGTGAAAGGGGTCACCAGTACAAAAGTTTGAGAACTGCTGTTATAAACCCTTAAGTGCACAGGAGCCAATAGGCTTTGCTACTGCCTTATGACCTACCATTCAGCCCAGAGTCCCCTTATAGACCATGAGAGGGCTGAATGTCTTATTAAGAGGATTAGACAGAGGTGTGCTCCTTAGATGGCTCAAGGAGTTTTTTTCCCTGCTGTCCCAGAAAAAAATCCCTCAAACACCCGTGAGACCATGGAGTGGGGTGGTAATGCCGCTCTAATTACAGACATTTAGTGGATTAAGGGAATTACAGAAAATATGATCATTGTGCTTATTTACAGCATTTGTTTAATAGGAAATCCTGTACTTAAGGTGGCAAAATTTAAATTATAACTACTATTCACTTGCTACACCTCTACCCTGATATAATATGGTCTTCGGGAGACAAAAAATCTCAAAGTGTTATAGGTGGGACCGCGTAATATTCAACTTGCTCTGCCCCCGTTCCCTGACCGCCCCCTCCAGAGACCCCCGTCCCTAATCACCCCCAGGCCCCCCCCCACCCAACCCCCTCTGCTCCCTGTCGCCCAACTGCTCTGACCCCCTATCCACATGCCCCGCCCCGACAGGCACTCATCGGCAGCAGCAGGAAGCGGAGCAACGTGGCCCCAGCCTGCTCCACTCCACCAGCTCCCAGCGTGGCACTCCGCTTCCCGCTGCAGGTGAGTATGGGGGCGGGAGGGGGAGCTTCCGCTTCCCACCGCCAGCGAGTGCAGGGAGGTTGGGGAAAGGACGCCCCCCGTACTCACCGGTGGCAGAAAACAGAGCGATGCGACCCTAGCCGCCTCCACTTTCCTTGCCCCGGCCCCAGTCGTGTCGCTCAGGGGGGTTGGCGAAAGGTCCTGCACTCACCTGCAGCGGGAAGCAGAGCACCACAGCTGGGAGCTGGCGGAGTGGAGCGGGCTGGGGCCGGGCTGCTCCGCTTCCGCCACTGCCGGTGAATGTGGGGCAGGATCCCTTCTTCCAAGCCCCCTCCCCTGAGCAACAGGGCTGGGGCAGTGAAGTAGGCTGCTCCCGGCCTCCCGCTAATTCCCCAGGCCACTCTGGGACTGCGGGGCCCCCAAAAGTGCCCCCCCCCGAAGCTTCTGCCTCCCAGACCCTGTGCGGGGGACGGGGGGGAGGAAGAGACCCTGACAGCCCCCGAGACCCTCTGCCCCTTATCCAACCCCTCGGCCACGGCCTGCTTAACACGCTGCTCAGAGCAGCGTGTCAGAGCTTTTACCACGTTGTATGCGAACCCACGTTATATCAGGTCGCATTATATCGGGGTAGAGGCGTACTTTTGAAACACTCTTCCGGAGCAATGAAATTATTTACAATTATTTTTAACTAGAAGATGATTGGTTTGTTTTGTTAGATTATGAGGAAAAAACTCAAGCATGTTGATATTTACATCAGACTGGAAAACACAACCCACTTACCATTGAAAAAAGTTATTCCCCATTCCTGAATTTAAAAAAAAAACAAAAAACCTGAATTTTGAAAACTAGCAAGTAAATTTTATTCTTTCGGAAGGACATCTGAGATCAAATTTATGGGAAAATTAATGAATTCTCCCTACCTCCAAAATTACTCTTTTTATTAGGTACAATACTCTGGATAGATTACCAGATAGAATGGGTCAACAGGAAGAACCAATCTCTCTTTTCCAGTGGCCAACAGGCTGCACAGAGTACAGCAAGAAAAGCACTTCTCATCCAGACCCTTTCTATGAATCGGTTGTTACAACAAGGGAAGGCTCATCACACTATACTGAGACAAGCAAAGAAGCTAGCTGGATAATAAAGCTATAAATCTGGAAATTCAGTTCTTAGTTTGAGGATGCTCAGTTATAGCAGATCCTAATTAAGCCCCTCTTGTGGCAACAAAAATGCACCTTTCTGAACAACAGCTCCAGAGGTTGATGATGGGGTAACTTTTGTGTGGGAAGTTGTTCATGTCTCATTGAAACAATCATAGCACAGTCCTTCCTCAAGGCAAAATCTAACCTCTTTCCCTCATGCAAGCCTCTATTAAGACACAGTAAAATGTGACTTCAGTAAATGCTCTCCTATCCCATTCATCTTAACAATCGAGACCATTTGGATATTAAAATTGTCACATAAAATCTAAAAATGAAAGTTGTATTTTAACTGTGCAACTTTTTCTTTTAAAAAAATTACATTAGAAGTTAACGTTACTACAGTGGAGTTAACTTGACAATATTGCACATCCTATTTGTTTCATAGTAAATATTATACAGCATAAATAGAGTGAAAGTAACCCCTTTATTTATTTAATAGTGAAGTATTACCTAGGCAACTGTAAAATTTCTGATCCACCACTGTAGATTTCTTTTTTTAAATCTATATATCTGTTTATATTAATTGCCACTCCACAGCATTATAATAAATGTTTTCACTGCTGCTAGAACAGCGATTTTCAAACTTCACTGCACCATGACCCCAGGAGTGGGGACTGAAGCCTGAGCACACCTGAGCCCCACTGACCCTGGGAGCTGTAGTCTGAGTCCCAACACGCAGGGCTGAAACCCTTAGGCTTCAGGTGGTGGGGGCTGGGCTTCAGCCTTGGGCCCCAGCAAGTCTAAGCCAGCCCTGGCGACCCCATTAAAATAGAGTTGTGATCCACTTTGGGGTCCTGACCCACAATTTGAGAACCACTGTGCTAGAATATATATGGCACATTGTTCAGCACTAAAGGGATTTATGGTCATGCTTGCTGTGCATTAATAACCACATTTTTTGCAAAGTCACAACAGTACAAATCTGTAATTATTACTGCTTGTTTCTATTACTGTTAAGAAAGTTCCAGAGTACAAAAGTCACCCACACAATTTCATTGCCTGTTATACTAATCCATCCTCCACCCACAAATAAATCTTAGTCCGGCCTCACAATACAGTAATGAAGATTAAGTAGCTCAGATAAAATCTATTCAACCACTGATATTATGATGCTGAAAAATGTGTGTCTTTTAAAAACAGTTTAAAGAAGTCACTTGTTGAATTTTATAAAGACCTTTAGCCTCAGAAGAGAAATATTATGAAAACAAGTACATCCTAAAATAATCTCAGTCAGCTCCTATTAATACCAGTTAGAATTTTGATTGAATCATGTTGCATTGACTAGTGGTTTCCATTATTTAATTAGATATGGTGGCTTGACTTACAGTTGCATTTTTTACATTCTTATCTGTTTAAGAGATGCATTGTAACAACAGAATTGTGGTCATGCTGCTAATACCACAGCAACTTGATAAAGACAGTTTTACTGAAAACAGCAGCCACAGCTCAAATCTTGGAGCAGAAAAATGGGTTATTCAAATCTTCAGTTGAGTTAAAACACATTTACTAAAACTGTCATTATAATTTCTTTATAAATCTCATTTTATAAGACACTTATGCTTTCTACAGTTAATGCATGAGATACAAATAATTAAAACTTTTTCCGAACTATCCTTCATTAAGGACTATGGCCCAGAGCCACAAAGGTACTTAGATTCTTCAGTCCCGTTTTCAGGCCTCATTGCAACCCATAAAACTCCTGCTCAGCTGCTGCCTAATCCTGTAGGCACCTGAACTCACTCAGTGCCTAAGTTTTCAGCATAAATATTTCCTAGGTGCATATGATTCTGCCCATGGGAAAGTGCACTGCTACCTCACTCCCACCTAAGCCCAAGAGCAATCCACAAACTGGCAAGAGGAAAGACAAGTGAATGCCTATTTTGTGTTCGGGGCCCAATCCAGTAGGTGTGTGGTATCATTCAAAATCCACTCACGTTATAACATTCAGCCCAAATGATTGGAGCACTCAGCATGGGATGTGGGAGAACCAAGTTCAGTTCCCCACTCTGCATGATGGGGAGAAAGGATTTGAATAGGTGTCTCCTACTTCTAAGCAGCGTGTTTAACTCCAGAGCTATGGGATATTACAATGTGAGACTACTTCAATCTCTGCTGTTGAAGCTTTGGCTGAGTCACTGGAGCAGTGGGGCTGGAACCTGGATCTCCCACCTAAGTGATGCACTAACCATGAGGCTTTAGAGTCTCTCTCTCCACCCTCCCATGGTGGGTTCCTAGCAGAGCTAGGCACCTCTCTGCAGCCTGGATGTAGGTTACTATCTCCATTAAAAGGGTAGAGCTTAAGAAACCTCTCCCATCCACATCTGCCACTGGCTAGTTTAGGTTGCTCCTCGCCTAGCCAGCTAGCTTTTGGGCATCACATTCTAAGATGCCTATCCTCTCCCCATTCATCGTGTACCAGGTTTGGGCACCTAACTCAGGCTTTGTGGATTGCAACACTGTTCCTATGACTTTTTAGGTGCCTAGAAGTTAGGCACTGCAACACTCAGCACAAGTCCCTTTGTGGATCCAGACCTATGTGAGTATTTTTTAAAAAACTAAACAAATATCAAACCCAACATTAATCCATACCTGCTTGTTTATGTTGGCCCCTGCTTGAACCAACCAGATCAGGCACTGAGGATGTCCTCCAAAAGCAGCAATATGGGCTGGTGTTTGGGCAAAACGTGTTGTACAGGCATTTACAGTAGCGCCAGCTCTCACTAATTGCATTAGACACTCCAGCTTAAATAGACAAGGGGAAAATAATTCAGAAATATTACCCATCAAATATACCCTGATACTTTACAGATCACTGATTAAATTAAAGGAGAAAGTGGAACAATATCAGTTTAAATTGACCATTAGTGGAAGCAGGCTGAACAACATGACTAACAAAATAATAAACTGGGCCTTCACCACCTCTTCCAGGTTTCTCAGGGTATGTCTACACTACCCGCTGGATCAGCAGGCAGCGATCGATCCAGCAGGGATTGATTTATCGCATCTAGTCTAGATGTGATAAATCAAACCTGAGCGCTCCCCCGTTGACTCCTGTACTCCACCATCACGAGAGGCGCAGGCGGAGTCAATGGGGGAGCAGCAGCAGTCGACTCACCATGGTGAAGACACCATGGTAAGTCGATCTAAGTACATCAACTTCAGCTACATTATTCACATAGCTGAAGTTGCATATCCCCCCCTCTTCCCCCAGTGTAGACCAGGGCTCAGTCACTAAAGAAGTAGCCAAGAGAAATTTAATTCTTGCCAAAAAATCTTTAACAAACCCAACACCATTAATTTGATAAGGAAAAAACTGATACTTTAGAGATGATTATAGTAGGGATTTATATAATGTTTGCTTCTGTCAGAAAAGGTGTTAAGTTTCTGATCTGGAAAGTTGTGAATGCGACTTTAAACAGACACGGTCAAGTAGCATTTGCTAGAACTTTGTTTATTCAATAAATTAAAACCTACCGTGAACTTAAATGTTCTCAGGAAAGTTTAAAAGGAAGGGAGCATGAAGAGTATGCAATAAAGAATTACAACTAAAAATTCTACTTTAATATTTCCCTGCAGCTTTGGAAACCCAAACTCTAAAAAGAAAGTAAAATGCTTATTAACTTTTCAGTGCCCTTGCTGAGTTCATTGACAAAAGTAACACAAAAACGCTGAAGAGTATGTGCATTACAATTCTTTCCATTTAAAATTTCTGTAGTGCATTCAGTGGTAACATAGCAAAAGGATCTGTTTGGGTTTTTTGGTTGTCTTTTCAAATATGATCACTTTGGCAGTTTCTCTTTATAGTAACTCTTCACTTAACGTTGTCACATTGCTGATCTATTAGGGAACAAGCTCGTTTAAAGTTGCGCAATGCTCCCTTATAACAAAGTTTGGCAGCTGCCTGCTTTGTCCACTGCTTGCAGGATTCTCTGAAAGAACAGCCCCTCCTTGTGGGGATTAGAACCGGGGGGGCCAGCAGCCCCCCCATCAGCTCCCCTAAATTCCCTGTAAGGTATGTGGCTTGGCAACTGCCCAGCAGCAGTTCAGGTGGCCCTCCCCCCACTGCCATGCTGATCCTTCCCTCTGCCTTGGATCCTGCCCTCTGCCCAGAGGGTGGTGGGGGACAGGGGTGCTGATATCAGGATGTCCCCCTGCTCCTTCCTCCCCCCCATACCCCTCTCTACCAAGCAGAGGAGGGGGACAGGGCTCAGGGACAGAAGGAAGGGAGCTTGCTGGAAGCGGTTGCTTCCTGTTTGATCTGCTTAAAAGGGCAACATACTTGAAGTGGGATCAGAGTACTTAAAGGGGCAATGCACCTCTCTGTCTCGCTCACTCATGCACGCACCCCCCAGCACTTTGGAAAGTCAGCACCTTTACAGCCATGCATATGCTGTCAGGAGGAGGGATCGGTATGCTCCAGCTGGATAGCATGGGCTCATCATCATGTTCAGTTTTTGCAGGGAAGGGTTTGCAGCTACTGCCCTACATCTATTGTGTTTCCTCCCTCCTGCCTCAGTCCATGCTTGTAGAGTGTGAGACTACATTAACAGCAATGTATTAACCCTTGAGGGCTCAGCCGAGTGCTAGTTCATCGTTTAGCAGCAAGGCATTCCCGGGGAAATATTCCACCCTCTTACTCCACCACTTCAACCAAGCTTCACAATCATTCATTGCTGTGTACAATATTAAACTGTGTTTAAAACTTATACTGTACATGTATATAATGTCTTTTGTCTGGCGAAAAAAATTTCACTGGAACTTAAACACCCCCCCCCCATTTACATTAATTTTTATGGGGAAACTGGATTCGCTTAACATGGTTTCGCATAAAGTTCCATTTTTCAGGAACATAACTACAACATTAAGTGAGGAGTTACTGCATTCTGACATTCAATCTCATATCATACTATGCTGAAATTTTTAATATTTCAACATTAAAATAATTATGAGAATGCTTTGAAAAGATGTCAGATTAGTAGGGGGTAGCAGAATTGCAAAGGTAATGGCTTAGAGAAAAGTGGTTGGAAAATTGTGTCACGCAATAGCACCAACTTTTGGCCTTCAGGAACAGGAATCATTAGGAAGTTAGTTTATGTACAAACATACATTTGTTTTATACTAGGCATCACTGTAGTATGCTTAATTTTACTCTAAAGAGTAAAGAGCATGTAGATCAAAGTTTTCGAGTCAAATGACTAAAATCAGGCATCTTGGTTTGAAAATTTTAACAAATACATGATCACTACATATATTTTCTAAACTTCAACTGTAATTGGGCAAATGTGTTATGGCATTAGCGACTGTCCCTACCAGTTTAATAAAAAAGTTAAAATTCAATCTGTAATTTACGAATTTATAGATTTAGTTTTAAGAGAACTTTGATTACTAACTGTACTTCTCTGTTGAGAAAACAGAATGTATAAACAGCATACAGGAAATAAAATGCATTAAAAACTCTCAGTGGATTTAAGATTGGGTATAAAGGAAATATAGTAACTCACCATGCAACAGAGAGGGTTCAGAGAAGAGCCATGAGAATGATTAAGGATCTGAAAACATGCCTTATAATGACAGACTCAAACAGCTCAATCCATTTAGCTTAACAAGGAGAAGGTTTAGGGGAAAACTGATTATAGTCTATAAGTATCTACATGAGGAGCAAATATTTAATAATGGACTCTCACTCTAGCAGAAAAGGGTATAACACGATCCAATGGCTGGAAGTTGAAGCTAAACAAATTCATAGTGGAAATAACATATACATTTTTAAGTGAGGGTAATTAATCATTGGAACAGTTTACCAAGGGTTGTGGTGGATTCTCCATCACTGATAAATTTTTAAATCAAGAATGGATGTTTTTCTAAAACTTATGCTCTAGGAATTATTTGGGGAAGTTCTATGACCTATGTTTTATGGGAGGTCAGGCTAGAAGATCACAATGGTTCCTTCTGGCCTTGGAATCGACGAATAAAAGTATCTTGGGGTGAGCAAAGAAGTATAATGCTAATGAGCCTAGCTCCCACAAACCCTAACATTCAACATGGGAGAAGGTATTCTTTGAAAAGAAATAAATAGATGCTAAAACAACTGCAGTAATAATTAAGAGTTATATCAAGGGGTAACGAACTTAAAGATGCTGTAATAGAGATACAGTTGTAGTAGTGGTGTGAACTCTGCAAAATTTGACCACCATTACCAACACTGGTTAGCCTCCACTGGTGTTTACACACCAAGGCCCCCAATGTTGTTGATGGGTTACCATAATCAAGCAGGGGTAAATAATTTGTTTAAGACATCAGTTACAGCCAGCGGCCCATCCACCAACGTTACAAACAAAGGCGAAATTGAACCAGCATTAGCAATTGTAGGAGATTTTGCAACATAAAGACTAAGCTATCTAAAGGTTCCAGTGAAAGTGCTAATCTTTCACTCTGCCAAGAGCAAAGGATTTTTCTTTTTTTATCATATAAATCCAGATTACTGGCCTGAAGAGAGGCAGGGAAACCTTAATGACCACTTACTGTGAGCTACACGTAGGTCACAGTCTGTCAACTCCAGAGAAAAGCAATGCAACTGCAGAACCAGTGCCCTTCTTCTAGCATTTAAGGTTGATTTGTAACCCACACTAACATGGTTTCAAAGCCTGTAACTCAACAAGGTTATTTTTAAAATGGTTCTTTTTTTTTTTCTTAAACTTCTTCTCTAATTTTAAGAAATCTAATAATAGAGAGGATGAGTTGCTGCGCTTCATTGAAAGTCAGAACATGTGGCCTTCTGCCTCATGGACTGAGAGACCTGCTTCTCGGAGTCCCAACTCCATCAGAAAATGGAAGTAGCTGCTAGTCAGGAAGAGGCCAGAATCCCTTATTCTTGTCCCATGGACTCGAACACTGAGCACTGGTTTTGGTCATCATCTTTTTGGTTTCTTTAATAAAAAAAAAAAAAAAAAGAATATTTTTCAAGTTCATGATATAGCTACAATGGGGATTGGGAATCAGGGTTAATCAGAGGAAGATGGGGGGGATTCCAGGGATTTACACTTACAAGATGGGGAAGGGGGATACTGGATTACGTATTTTTTTTTTAAGTTGCAGCCCAAAGAGGAATAGAATTTACTTACCTTACATTATATATATGAAAAGTAAAATAGTCCAACAACAACAACAGTCAAGGATCACAAAACAATCAAGTATTAAAAAAGTAAGAGGCAAGCTGATATGGTCATGGAAAAAATATGGCCAATTAGTCAAGGATTTAAAAAAAACCCAAAAAACAAAACCACCACATAAATATAGAAGGAAAGCATTTTAAAAAAAACAAAACAAAACAAAAACCCACCACTATCTTGGTGCTGTATTCCTGCCCTCAATTCCCTTGTCTGGATGCTGGCTATTTAGATCATATATTCTTTTATATATTGACCTATCTTACAGCTCTGTACAACACCCAGCATAATTCAAGGCACTATATAAATGAACTAGACAATATTTTCTTGAATACTAACTAATTTGGATGCATTTTAGAGTAGCAGCCGTGTTAGTCTGTATTTGCAAAAAGAAAAGGAGTACTTGTGGCACCTTAGAGACTAACAAATTTATTTGAGCATAAGCTTTCGTGAGCTACAGCTCACTTCATCGGATGCATTCGATGAAGTGAGCTGTAGTTCACGAAAGCTTATGCTCAAATAAATTTGTTAGTCTCTAAGGTGCCACAAGTACTCCTTTTCTAATTTGGATGTAGCTGATTTTCCAGGAATCCCTTAGTGTCCCAGGAGACAAGCATATCTCAGTTTTCAGGGAATACACAGAAAACAGTGACTGCTCCAGGGGTATCTAAGGTAAAAAGGAGCAGCTTGGGATTGACTGTGGTTTATATTCATGAACATATTTCAACACCAAATCCTACCAGTGGAGGTCCATACTGGCAAATGAGCCCTCAGACCTTACGAATACCAGGGCACAGTTACCTGCTATTACAATTAATCATATGTTTTCTTACTGTTTTTTGTTTTAGAACTGTTCTCTATTTGTAATACTTTCTTAGAAACTAGAATACGGCATTTATCTTCCTACTACCTTTACCCTTTTCCATTTACAAATATTGATCCTGGTCATCCCTTCCTTACCTTCCCAACCCTCCAAAAAAATTTAGTCTCTTTCTAATAAAACTAGCCATTTCAGTTTGCTTCCTTGTGGGGGCAGTCACCAAGATAACAGTTCTTGTTTACTGATATTAGTCAAAACATCTACTTTTTTTTTTTTTTAAATGATCTATGAAGATAGTGAGGCAGAGTCTCTTCTGTACCCAGTACCTGCTTGGTGCAGGAGGGAGTGGGTGTCTACAAAGGAGCAACCTGGGGCTCTACAATCCTGGAAATTGTTCTACACAAGTCCCAACATACATAAGAATGCTGGTCTAAGGTTTGCCTGATGGCTTTGGCACCCATAAGGAGTACTCCACCGGTCAGGGATGACCAGAGCACAATAATGTTTCAGCTACATCCCCTACATGGGGATGAGGGTAGCCTAGGAGCTGGATTCACATCACTAGGTGACTGACCCATGCCAAGAGAATCGGTAGCTGGGATGGGAAGATCTGTCACATTTATGGCCTCTTTGCTCTTCTAGAGCAGCAGAAAGGGGCTAGAATAGGGAGGAGAGTCAGGTCCAGTAATTTATTTTTTTATAAACAAATGTTTTTAAAATCCACAATATGTTTAGAAATGCAATTAATTTCACCTCCAGTTATGATAATTTTGAACTAGAATAAGCTCCACTCAAGAAAACACAAGAGCAGGAAAAAAAGTGTGTGCATAAGTTCAATGGAAGTGGCTGTTTTCATTTCTCAGCAACACGCTGTATTTATGTTTATCTAATAAAAGATGTTCCCAAATTTGTGATCTGGTACAAAAATACCTGGAACTAATTACCTGATAAATGTCTATTTAAAATATTGTATTTTCCCCTAGCACAAATATAAGAAAAGGTTTGTAATTGAAATATACTACATCAATGTGTACAGAAACTCTTCATAAACCCAGATACAGCAAGGCTCTGCTACAGCAAAGGAATTCACTGAGGTTTAATGAACCAGCTCTGTCCCAACCTTGGAGAACTGAATTGAGGCGCCTTAATTTAACCCTGTCCTGCTTATCCTCTTTGTTGGCTTGCCCTCTTGGCTCTCTCCTCAAAGGCTTAGCCTCTTTTAATTGAGCTAATTGCTCTGACTTGCCACACTGCCAAAAGTGCAGCAATCTAAGAGCACTAAAATATTAGTTATGTTTTCATGTATCCTATCTGTATGCAAAACTGTATACAAACAAATCTTCTGCATTCCCTTTAGTATTTTCATTAAAGAAAGATGTCTGGCCACGGCTTGCAGGCCTGACTGGTCCCTCTACACGTTCCTTTAAGAACCTTATAAAGCCTGATATAAAAAGCAATGGTTAAAGGCACAAACGGCTGCCCTGCCCCCCATAATACAAGAAAGGAAAGAGCCGGAATAAGGCTTGCAGACAGAAAAAGTCACAAAAGATGAGGGGAAAGAACCATTTTCAGGGACTGGGGAAAATAAGGGAGTTAACGTTCAGATGTTTGGGGGCCACCACGCTTCGTTCACACGGGGCCACGTCCTGCCCGCAGTTATAATACACAACTGTCTCCGGGGACCCAGACCCGACACAACGGCTGTGGCGCGACCCAGCGCGTCCTTTCACCTCCCAGGCACGGCAGCGAGGGAGCCGCCAGGGCACAGATCCCCCCGCGCCGCTCACACGCAGGGCCCCTGGGCCGCGCTCCGCCCAGCGATCGCCTCCTTCCCAGCGCACACGCCGGTCGTCACAACACGGGCACCAAAACAGAGCCAAGTCTCCAGGTGGAGCCTGCGCGCGCAAGAAGGACCGTTACTAGACCCGGGGGGGGGGGGGGCGAGACGAAAATGTGGTTCCTCAGGTAACTCAATACCCCGCCCCGCCCCCGCGCGCTGGGGGAGGAGCACCTGCCCCCTCCTCCTCCCCATTGGCTCCCGCAGCCGCCGCCAGTGACCCCGGCACCTTTCGAAAGCTTGGCCAGGGGCCACGGATCTGTCCCTGTCAATAAAGCGCCGGGGAGGGGGCGGCGAGCGCCCCAGGGGCCGGCCGGGCTCATTCGGGGCACCGGGCCCGATGAGCTGCGGCGCTTCCTCGTCCCATCAGCAAGCGCCGGCTGCCGGGGCCCGAGTCGCCGCCCCTCCTCCGGGCCCGATGCCGAGGCGGCCCCGGCTCTCTCCCGGGACGTGGACAGGCCCCCCCACGAGAGCCCGACCCGTCCCGCGTCCCCCCCGGCGCGGGGCCGACAGGAGCGCCCCCCACAGCCCGCTCCCTTGCGCTCCCTGGGGGGTGGGGACGGCCCCGAGACTCCCGCTGAGCCGGGTGGCGGTTCCCAGGCAAGATGGCGCCGTGCGAGCCTGGGGTCCCGCGGGGCAGCGCCCCCTCCCCGGGCCGGGCCGCACCTTGCCGAAGTGCGCGGCCCAGTGGATGGGCGTCCAGCCGTAGAAGGAGTCCTCGACGGCCAGGTCGGAGCGGGGCGAGCCCTGCAGCAGCGCGCACAGGCTGGGCAGGTCCCCGTCGCGGCAGGCGCGGTGCAGGGGGAAGCGCAGGGTCAGCAGCTCCTCGCTGGAGAATCCCGCCTCCGGGCCGACTCCCAGCGACATGGTGACAGGGGGCGACGGAGGCTCGAGGCTGCTGCCGAGTCCCGACCGACTCCGAGCACAAAGAACCAGGTGGGGCGGGCGCGTGGCTCCTCCCCGAGCGGCGTGGGCGGAGCGGCCAGCGCGCGGGGCGGCGGGGAGGGGAGCGGTTGGACGGGGGCCGCGCGCGCGCTGAGTGTTCCTGCGGCCCCTCCCCCTGTCACCGCCTGCAGGCCGCCAGCCGCTGGTGCCGCGAGCTTGACCGGGAGCTGGAGGGAGCGCGCGCAGCATCGGAGCGTTGGCCCTGTGATGACGACAGTCCGATCCCGCGCGCTCCGGCCACCCCGCCCGGCGCCGCGCAGGGCCTAGCCGCTCAGGGAGTCGAGGGGACTAAGCTGGGGGCGGCAACGAGCAGCCCAGAGAAGCGTCACAGGAGCCGCTCCAGGGCGGGCGTGCAACGGTGCCTCAGACTGATCATGGGCAGCCTCGCCTTAGTGTCAGGCGTTCCTGGGGACTCGATTTTTGTCACCCAAACCAACTATATCCGTCCATAATGCAACTTTACATCTAGGCAAGGGGGGTGCCAAGAGCTACTGAAGTGAACTGTAAATCCTGTATGTAATGGAAACCACTTCAAGCCCTAGGGTGCAGGAGCAGCGCTAGTTCCAGCATCTATGCTAGGCACAGTAAGAAAAATGCTGCTGGAGACCTTATCACAATTAGCTTTAAGGCTGTTTAATTTGTATCAATTGATGTGATATTGAGAATTTGTGTTTTTGAGTCATAAAGTTCTAACTTTTTGACTCTCAGTATCCACTGCCATCAGTCCCATTGTCGGATCTTCCCCTTTCCCACAGCTGTGAACAGTTACGTTGTTAAATGGAAAAAAGCTTAAAAATAAATGGTTGAAATTATTAAAAAAATTTAATTCTGCCAAGGCTATTTATAGTCCAGCTGGTGTCTGAAGTGGTGAGAAAATGTACACTTGCCATCTCTCCTCCATCCAATTGTACTGCTGCTGCAACTTACATTATGTAGCTACCATAAAATCAATGCTCTCTCACAACAACCAAACATAATTCTGGATCCTGAGCAAGAACAGAATTTTGCACTTTCAAAAGGAACAGATCCATTTTTCAACATTTTTCAAAATGGATGATATGGTGGTTGCAGCTCTTCAAAACATCCTGGTTCCAAGATATTGTGAAAAGAAAAAGGACTATTGTACTTACACCACTCATCAGTTTAAAGAACCCTGGGTATAAAAATTGCCTTTGCAAAACTGATGAATTCATGGCTTAATGTATTTTGTGTCATCAAATATTTTCAATTAAATATGAAAAGAGAAGAGCTCTTGCCATTCATGTGGAATGAATAAAACACAAAGATGCTGTGAAAAATCAGAAATGAACTCTTTTTTTAAAAAATATCAAAGAGGACACACTTCAGGAAAGTCTAGTGCCAGCAGAAAAAATACAAGAAATTTACCATGGCGTGATTGATCATTTATTTTAATCAAGATTGGCGCAACACATGGCTTCCAAAATGTCTATCAGATTCACAAATTGTGCAAAAAAACAAAACACCCACCAACCCAAGTCTTCTGAACCTACAAAAGCACCTAGAATTCCTAAAAGTGGCACTGAAATTGAAGCAACTTTTAGTTAATGATCTCAAATTAGAACATTTTTCTCCTCAGTCAGAACAGATCCCTCCAATAGGGGAAATAAATGTTTCCTGATTTCTGTTGGTTATTTTTCAAAGATGGAAGGGATTTAAAAATGGCTTACTTGATTTTTACCACGATAATGAGGAGACAAGTAATGCTATTGTTGTAGGTATTTCAAACATAGAAGAAAGTGACCTTATATAAAGTGTGTGGTCTTGTGTAGCTAATAACGTCTCTGACTTTGGAAAAAACAAGTCAGTTTACCAGAAGCTAAAACAAATGAATGACAGAATGGTTCAGATTGGATGCAAGTGCAATGTGATTCATAACTGTTAAAAATGGCATGAAAGCTAACTTTTTTAAAGGGTTCCACAGCCTATCCTGGCAATTACAGGCTGGTGCATCTAATGTCAGTACCAGTCAAATTGGTAGAAACTATAACAAAGCAACTGAATTATCAGACACAAAGATAAACACAATTTGTTGGGAAAACATGACTTTTGTGAGGGAAAATCGTGCTTTACCAATCTATTAAAATTCTTTGAGTATGTCAACAAGCATATAAATAAGGGTGATACAGTCGATACAGTTACTCCTGGGGGAATTCTGTGCCTAAAAATTCTGTGCACAATATTTTAAAATTCTGCAAAATTCTGCATATTTTATTTGTCAAAATAACACAATATAATCACACCAGTTTCAATTATTTTTGGTCATTTGTTTCAAAATACCTGTCAGCAAGTATGTCTGTAACAATACAAACAACAAAAAAGATTCAGGAAATGTTTGACAAATAGATTCCTTACTAGGCATATTAATACAGAACTCTGAGTAATAATTCATTTAAACTACAATATAGAACCGTATTTCCCACACCCTGCAGAAGCACTGCAAAGGCTTGAGGGAGTCAGGGGTAACGGAGGAGCTGAGGGAGAGGGAAGTAAATTGCTGGGAAGGAGTCTGGGTGTGAACTTGGAGGGTTGTTGGGTATAGGTGGGAAAAGTATGGAACAGGTATTTTAGGGGGGTGGGGAAGGATTGTTAGGGAGCTTCCCCCATGCAGACCCTAGCTGACCCCTAGCCTCTCCCATTCAGTCAGGCACATCTGCCCCTGTCCCCATGTGTCCTGCACCCCTACTCAGACACCCCCCTCCTCATATGGCTCTGTACCTCCTCCCCATCCCTATGTGTCTCTGTGCCCTCACCCAGCCACTCCCCTATGTAGCTCGGCACCCCCTTTGCCATCACCATGTGGCCCTGCACCTCCCTCCCGCCTGAGGCTCTGTGCCTCCACTCCCATTCAGCCCCTTCTCCAGTCTGTCCTCCCCTTGCTGACCCCTCTCCCCCAGCACCCCACCCTGTCGTTCTCCCCATAGCCCCTCTCTCCTGACCTGGCCTTACAGGTGTTGTGAAGAAAGCGGGCTCCTTCCCTGGCTGGCTGGGAGCTGCTGCTTTGTTCTATCTCTACAACGCCCTCTGGTGGACAAAAGGCAGAACTGCAGAAGTTATTTTCTGTTGGGAGCGGCTGCTGTTCTTGCACCATAGCGTCCTCTGGTGAGCAAAAGCTGGAACTGCAGCAACATTTTGGCAGAAGCTTTTTTCCCTACAAAAAATTAAAAATATGCACAGCTCATTAATTATGCACGTGCACAGTATTCTCCCAGGAATAATATAGTGTGCTTTTTTTTCAGAAAGCCTTTGACAAGTTCCCTCACCACAGGCTTTTAAGTAAGCAGTTATGAGACAACAGGGAAGGTCCTCTTATGGATCAATAACTTGTTAAAAGGTAGGACAGAAAGAGTAGCAATAAATAGTAAGTTTTCACAGTGGAGTGGAGTCCCCTAAGTATCTGTTCTGGGACATGTGCAGTCTACATATTCATTTGTGATCTGGAAAAGGGAGTTAACAATGAAGTGGAAAAGTTTTCAGACGATACAAAATTATTCAAGATAATTAAGTATAAAGCACACTGTGAAGAGTTACAAAGGAATCTCACAAAAACGGAGTGACTGGACAACAAAATGGCAGATGAAATTCAACATTGATAACTTCCAAGTAATGCATGTTGAAAAAAATAATCCCAACTATACGTATATAATGATGGGTTCTAAATTACCACTCAAGAAAGAGATCTTGGAGTGATTGTGGATAGTTTTCTGAAAATGTCAGGTCAATATACATCAATGGTCCAAAAGGCTAACAATGTTAGGAACTATTATGAAAGGGATAGAAAATAAGACAGAAAATATCATAATGCCAACTATATAAGTTCATGGTGTGCCAATTATGGCTGCCTTATCTCAAAAAGGATATACTGGAATTGGAAAAGGTTCAGAAAAAGGCAACAAAGATGATCAAGGCTATGGAATGGCATCCATAAGAGGACAGACTAAAAAGGATTAGGGCTGTTCTTAGAAAGGAGATGATTGGGGGTATATGATAGAGGTCTATAAAACCTTGACTAGTGTGGGAAACAAGTGTTTTTTACCCTTTCCCACAATACAAAAACCAGAGGACACCTAAATAAATGAATAGGCAGCAGGTTTAATATAAACAAGAGGAACTACTTTTTCAAACAAAATGCACAATTAACCTGTGGAACTCATTGCCATGGGATGTTGTGAAGGCCAAAAGCATAACTGGGTTTAAAAAAGAACCAGATAAGTTCATGGAGGATAGGTCCATCAATGCCTATTAGTCCAGCTGATTAGAGATCAACCTCATGCTCTGGGCAACCCTAAGCCTCAGATTGCCAGACACCAGGAGGGGAAGACTGGGTGGATCTCTACAAAACTGCCCTGCCCTGGATCTCTGGTATTGGCCACTCTGGGAGATAGGATACTAGACTAGATGGACTATTGATCCTACCCAATATGGTAGTTCTTATGCGTATAAGAAACTTCTTCATAATGTGCCAATGAGGTATCTGTCCTTCTGCCTGCAATGGAATGAGTCCTACCACACTGGCCTGCATTAAAGCAGAGTGGATAAAAATACAGGATGTTTTTGAATTTATTTTTTTAAATCAGGTTTTTTTTATTTAAATAGGATTTACTTGTTATTTTAAAAATAAGCCTGTTTATAATTAAATCTGAATTTAATACAAAATTTGTTAAGGCCTAAATTTATTATAGTTTCTTAAAATATTTAAATCAAAAATAAATATGCTGAATCCATGAAAATTCCTGTCCCCAGACTTTGTCTCCTGAACCCCAGCTGGAGATGATTCTCAAAGAAGAGGAAAAAGATAAAAATGAGTAACAGAAGCCCCAGATCACCTCTCTCCCCTCTTCTCTACTCACAGCATCAACACCACTTGAAAGAAAAGGAAGCATCATTGAACTGGGGGTGGGGTCCTGGCTGACAAGAATCCAACTAGACTGCTGTAAGCATGTGGTAAGATAAATCCTTTTGCTTTAAATTCACTTAGTTTGTTAAGTTAGGCATTAGTTTGTGTTTTATCTTTTATTTCTTTGTAACCAATTCTTACTTTTATGCCTCATTACTTGTAATCACTTAAAATCTAAATTTCTGTAGTTAATAACTTGTTTTACCTACACCAGTGTGTGTTTGGACTGAAGTGTTTGGGAAACTTCATTTGGGATAACAAGATTTGTGCATATCATTTTCTGTTAATGAAACAACGGACTTTCTATGAGTTTGTATTGTCCATGAGGGTACTGGGCAATACAAGACACACATTTCTGGGGACAAGTCTAGGACTTGGAATTTGATGATGTTGCTCTGTAATATAATTTAGGCATGGCTAACTGTATCACTCTTACGATATAGCTGGGAGTAATTTACATGCTGGAGGCTCTGAGTGAACAGGTCAGGAGTGGCTGCTCCCACACTAAAGCAGTGTAAAAGGTTCCCCAGGTTGGAGTACTGAGGGGACACAGCTGTTCAACAGTCCAGATTGTACTCTAGGTAATGTCACAGTAGCAAAAAGATGCACCAAATTTAGTGTAAAGGTTCTTTTTAGTTGTAAATCAATATGTCGTAATAGTTATATCAACCAATGAGAATATACCTTTCTTTGTAAAATAACTGAAATAAAATAGAAATATTGATTAAAATCAATTATTTAAACCAAGGCTTTTAAATCCATATGTTGGTTTAAATAGCTGATTTAAATTGCCTTGATTTAAAATCAATCCACTCTGTATTAAAAGCATATTTATTTCAGAGGGGGAAAATTATGCCAAGATTATTTGGGAAGCATTCAGTGAGGATGATCAGGAATCTTTCTTTGTTAAATTTACTTCCTACATAACCTGATGGGAGTATTTTTGAAGCACTCAAAAAGCTAGAATGCAACAATACCAGTTGTATAGAATTAGACTGTCATTCTAAACTAAAGAGAAGGAAAGAGGACCATCAGTGCAGGCTATTTTGCGCAATCTCTATAGAACAGGTGAAAATCTGAGGAGGAAGCAGATAAGGGATTGTCAAGATGCAGTGCATATCGTTAGAAATGGTATGATGGAGACATCTGTTTCCAAACGTGTCAGTCTTCTTACTGGACAATGAAGTGGAATGGTTTGATACTGAGAAGCGGGCTGAAGTTCTTAACCTTGAGATTGATTTTAATAAGCTATATGATGAGTACAGCATTTTACAGCAAATTAGAAAAATAATTTCAAAGGAGCAAAAAGCTGATCAAAGATGCTGGAAGTTTTCAAAAAAATACCACACATTTTTAAACTTGTATCTTTCATGCTTTCAATTCCAGTCTCAAATAAAAATCCTTTTGCAGTATGCAGGTTAGTGACTCAGCTTGGGAGGAAAGAAAGGAACTGATTAAGTGAACATATTGTGAAAGCAAAGCTAGGTATAGGTACACTGAAGTATGTCTTGTGATGACATTTATGAATGTCAGAAAGTCTCCAGATTTGCTGAAAACAGCAAGAAATTACAGGTTTAAGAAGAAAAAAAAAACCAGGAGCAAAGGCATTCAACTACAGGAGAACCAACTTATATAAGTTAAATGAAATAAAATGTGTTTATTTATTAAGTCTAATGAATGCCTTTTGGCTGTATCAGTCATTTGGTGATGGTATACTATTTTCGCAGCTCTGATAAATCTTGAGTTTTGCTTTGGTGTTGTATTTTGATGATTTCCAGATGGTATTTAAGCTCCTGAAGGTGTTCCTGGATTTATTGCTTTTTTTTTCCAGATGTCCTGGCTTGTTCCACCATTCTGGCTGATGGTGCTGCCCAAGTATGTGAATGTTTCTACATTGGTGAGAACATAATCCTCTATCCATACTGGTGATGGTGAGGCAATATTAAAGGTCATGATATCTGTCTTATTGTGGTTGAGTCGAGTTATTTTTTCTTGTATATGGTGTTGGGTATGTGATAGGAGAGCTACATCATCTGCGAAGTCCAGGTCTTCAAGGGATGAGAAGAGTGTCCATTTAATGCCTCTTGGCATGTCTTATGTTGTACACCGCATTACCCAGTTGATCTTTTGGCCTAGAACAATCTCAAACCAAGATCTATGGACACAGTGCAGCCAAGAGGATCTGAGCACCATCATTGCCAGGAGGCATGAATCATAGAATCATAGAATATCAGGGTTGGAAGGGACCCCAGTAGGTCATCTAGTCCAACCCCCTGCTCGAAGCAGGACCAATTCCCAGTTAAATCATCCCAGCCAGGGCTTTGTCAAGCCTGATCTTAAAAACCTCTAAGGAAGGAGATTCTACCACCTCCCTAGGTAACGCATTCCAGTGTTTCACCACCCTCATAGTGAAAAAGTTTTTCCTAATATCCAATCTAAACCTCCCCCACTGGAGATGGATTGGTCATGTGCTTAGGATGGAAACTGATTCCATCACCAGAGTAGCAATAAGATGGACACCTGAAGGCAAGTGAAAACAACATGGCGAAGAGCTATGGAAGCCGAGCTGAAAAACCTGGGGCACAGCTGGGGAACCACTGAAAGACTTGTCAGAAACAGACAGGAGTGGAGGAGCTTCGTCATTGCCCTAAATGGCAGAGGCATAATAGGAACATGATGATGATGATGATGATACTGTTTTCCTTTGGTTATTTTTAAATAAAATTAAACACACACAAAACATTTAAACAAGCATTAAAAATGAAGTAGCCTATACCCTATCACACTTTTAAAAATAAGATTCACAATACAACTGGTAATTTTCCATATTGTTTATTCATGTCATGAGCATGAACTTTGCATGCACATGAAAAATCTGACACACATGCTGGTCCTTATTTTCCGCTGGGGACAAACTGCTTACTCCACAATAAATGAGTTTCAACATAGCCCAGGCCTTAGCTATTATGTTATGTAATGAAACCTTTTGGAATATGTCTGTGATGGGTTGCCCCCCCTTCCGGGGTGCCACCTGACGTACTGGGGTACCACTGAGCCCACCTGTTCCACGAGCCTGGACTCACTCGCCAGGCCCTCAAGCCTCCTCTAGCACACACACAGATAGGGACACACCCAGCTGCAGAAAGACACTTAAATCAGTTGTGCAGGGGAAGGCTTTCAGCTAAGGAATTGCTCAGCACTCAAGGGGATGGGGAAGAGAAGGGGATATGGGAATGGGCGGGGGTACGGGGAAAGCAGGATCGCAGCATGGGGCGTTCCCTAGGCGGTGGCAGCCCCAGCAGGGAGGCAACTGTAGCACACTGAGAAACAACACTAGCTATTTTATGTATTGCCATAGTCTCCCATAAGGAACAAACCTACATTGTACTGGCCACCATACAGAGTCTGAGACAATACCTGCCCTGAGGAGTTAATAAACCAATGAGGCACCTGGGTTTTAGCCTAAATTGTCAGGCCTTGACCACAGTATAAAAAGGAGACCTATAATTTTCCACTAATGCAACTGCACTGTGCTTGCCTACACTGGCAGCAAGGGGACCTGTAATTCTCTATAGGTGCAGCTCCACCTGTGGGAGTTTAGTTGTAGACAGAACTGGGTGGTGGGTGTGACGGGTTTCCCTCGGGGTGCATCTGGAACTGGGGTACCACTGAGCCCCCTGATTTACCAGCCTGGGCTCCCTCTCACACTGCACTGCCGTGATAAGCTGCAAAGCCCTCCAGCCTGCACTTTCACCAGCATTCATACAGGTAGGGACACACCCAGCTGCAGTTGCATGAAGGGCAGACTCTCTAACCACCAGTTTCCCCGCCTGGGATCCCAGAGTAGTACAGTCCTGCCCTGGTCAAATCTGGCCAGCATATGGGTTTAATACTTGGTCCGTCTCTCCCTTAATGTGAAGAAAACAATGCATTCTCTTCTGCTAATGGGGTACTATACCTTCATGCTTAGAGGAACACAAACACAGCAATATTCTCTTCCTACTGCCCCAGAGGAGAGATGCTAACTTTTAGCAAATATTCTTTCTTTTCCCAGAGGAAAATGCTGTAATGCACAGTACCTTAATAATAATTCCCACTTAGGGACCCCCCCTAGTCTAGACAAAGTGTGCTGCTTGCACTTTCACATTTTGAGCAGTGGTACTTCAGGTCCTCCTCAGGGGAGAATGGTTGCTATTAAAAAGCAAAAAATGTTAACATTTAACTTTCTTAAAAATTATACTAATTAATACTACATTGAATCTAGGATTGTAGGATAGGATTCTCAAAAGTGCCTAAGTGATTTGAAAGTCAATAGAGCAATCTTCTAGATTATTTTGAAAGTCACAAATAGAAAATTTAGAGTTACAGTTCCCATAATCTAAGAACATATGAACGGCCATACTGGGTCAGACCAAAGGTCCATCAAGCCTAGTATCCTGTCCTCTGACAGTGGCCAATGGCAGGTGTCCCAAAGGGAATGAACAGACAGGTTATCAAGTGATCCATGCCTGGTCACCCAATCCCAGCTTTTGGCAAACAGAAGCTAGGGACATCATTCCTGCTCATCCTGGCTAATCTCCATTGATGAACCCATCTTCCATGAATCTATCTAGCTCCCTTTTGAACCCTGTTATCATATTGGCCTTCACAACACCCTCTGGCAAGGAGTTCTAGAGGTTGACAGTGCATTGCGTGAAAAAATACTTTCTTGTGTTTGTTTTAAACCTGCTACCTATTAATTTCATTTGGTGGACCCTTGTTCTTGTATTATGAAAAGGAGTAAGTATTATAAGAAGGAGTAAATACAAACCTATTCATTCTTGTCAACAACACAGTTCGGCACAGGCAGCAAGCAATGGACTCAGAGGAGACAGGAAGATGGTGTTTAAACCATCTCCTAAAAGAATACAAAAGCAAATTTGACAAACTAAAGAAATTCATTAAGCCCTGGTCCTGCAGACAATTATGGAAGTGAATAATTTTATTCCAACTGAAATGAGTTGGATTATTCCTCTGCATAAATGTCTGCAGGACTGGGGTCTGGACCTGGAATCGGAATAGTAGCTGTATTCTTCCCTTGTCACGCATTATCACCACTAGTAAAAAGACGGCTGGCTAAATCCTACACTTGACACCAGTGTAACCCCACTGCTGACAATGGATTTACACTGATGTAAGTCACTGGAACCTAGTGAACAATTCTGTTGATACCCAATAAAATACAAATAATACACAACATTTATGTGAAAAAGGACTAGAATCCAGACCACTGTCTTAGATTCATTGATTCCACAGAAACTTTTAGAAACTTTTGTGATTGATGTTTGTTGCTTTATACACAAGGGGCAGTCACCTTTAAGACTAGAACCATATCTTAATGTCACTCAGATAAATTAGTGATGAACTGCATTTAGCTTCAGCCAAAAGATCTAACAACTGCTTTAGATTTTTAAACTTTGGAAAAAGACTAGATCTCTATTAATATCCTTTAATACTATTTTTAGGTTGAGGAGTGTTTTAGATAATTGCAGCTTTTATTAACCTACAAAGGATGTGTTGACAAAACAATTTTCTTTTGACTAGTAGCTGCCTGAAATAGCAGATCTAAACATTGCTGGAGTTCTGTAATTTGTTTATACAAGTATAAATATTTTAGTAATTACATACCAAGTGGACCAGAATTTTCTTTGTCTTTCTGGGGTTAGCAGCCTAAAGTTTCTTAATATAGAAGCAACTATTTTCAAAAGTACTGGCAGAGCCAAGCATCTTATTTTTAGATTTCCTTCCAGCATCAAAGAGTGTGAACTACCTTGTGGATCTGATAAGAGATCCTGATTTCTCAGACAATGTATGACTCTTATCTCTAAACAAATCAGGAATAGGGCTGGTCAAACAATTTCCCATCAAAACTGTTTTTCAGTGAAAAATTGGGTTGTCAACCAAACAACATTTTTCGTGAAAACCACCTGATTTCTACAGAAAATTTCAACTTTTCAAAAAGATAAACACTCAAAATCTGAAAAATGTCAGCCAAAACCTGCAGAATTTCAATTCTGAAATGATGCCATGGTGCGTTATAGAATTTTAGCTGGGGCACTTCATGCCTCCATTCTGTATTGGCTAGGTTTCCCAGCTGGACTGCATCTGAAGTCCATTACACTGATGCTCATGATAGTAATACTGCAAGGCACTAACGTTCATCATATAATTGTTCCCCCCCCTTATAGGGTCTCTGGAGTGCTGAGCTACATAAACATTTGTCCTGAACAGTCTTTGGTGGCATTCTCTGTGCATCATTAGTCAGACAAGCATTAAACCAACTCACTATAGCCTCCACACTGCTCCCTAAGATCCCACAACACACCCTGCTTCAGCGGCCAATTGCCATGGAACCTTCCTCTCATGTTGACCTATGTACCTCCTGAGCAGAAGGAAATTAGCAGCAGCATATTTACCCTTAGACCAGGGGTTCCCAAACTTGGTTCACGGCTTGTTCAGGGTAAGCCCCTGGCAAGCTGCGAGACTTTGTTTACCTGAGCATCCGCAGGTATGCCGCTCTGGCTGCTGTTCGCCGTTCCCAGCCAATGGGAGCTGCCTCTTCCTGCAGCTACCATTGGCCGGGAGCAGCGAACCGCGGCCACTGGGATCTGGGAGCGGCCGTACCTGCAGACGCTCAGGTAAACAAAGCATCTCGCGGCCCGCCAGGGGCTTACCCTGAACAAGCTGCAAACCAAGTTTGGGAACCCCTGCCTTAGACTATCCATCATACTGCCCTCTGCTGACCTATTAGTGCTCATCCAATTCCTCACAAGAGATACCCCCTCTCATGCTAGATCAGAGTTTCTCAGTGACCAGTCTGTGGTCACTGAGAAACTCTGATGTACTCAATGCTTTTTTTGCCTCTGTCTTCACTAACAAGGTCAGCTCCCAGACTGCTGCACTGGGCATCACAACATGGGGAA